TCTTTCACCTTTTCTATAAATGTGAATTACTCAAAATTTAAAAGTTTAAAGAACCAATATACATGTTACATTTCCAACACAAAGGTAACCTGGTACAAGATGACACCAATTTAAAAAGTGACACTATTCCACCATTTGGTCTCCTTATCCACACCTGAAGCAAGAGCCTGTGACCCATTTGTTTAACTCATCCTTTGCAGTCCTGGTCACAGACTAACTTGCAGTTTAGTTGGCTGTGCCTTTCTCAGAGCGTAGACATATATGGAAGCCTCCCATTGTGTTTCACAAGGGCCAGCACAATCTTGAGAACAGAATACGACAAGTCTAGCACATGAAAATCCATCAGCCTTCAAAGAACCTATGCACCCCAATGTTATAGCAGCACAATTTACAATAGTCAATTGCTGGAAGTGACCTAAGTGCCCATCAGTAAATGAATGGATCCAAAAACTATGGTACATTTACACAATGGAATTCTATGCAGCAGAGAGAAAGAAGGAGCTACTACCCTCTGCAACAGCATGGATGGAACTGGAAAGCATTATGCTGAGTGAAATAGGTCAGGGGTTGAAAGACAAATACCATATGATCTCACCTTTAACAGGAAGCTAAACAACAAAACAAACAAGCAAGCAGAATAAAAACAAAGACACTGAAATAGAGAACAAGGGGACAGTGACCAGAGGGGCGAGGAAAGGGAATTTAAGGGGGAAAAAGGGGAGGGATTTGGAGGAACAAATAGGAAGGACACAGGGAAGAGAACTAAGGGGGGTGGAAATGGGAGGGAGGGGGGGAGCACGGGGCAGGGTGGGCTGGGATGGGAGAAATAGACAGAAAACTGTACTTGAAAAATAAGTAAATAAAAATTAAAAAAAAAAAGAAAATCCATCAGCCAACATGAATCTTAAATACGGACACAATATATAAAACAAATACTAGCTTATGCAAGTCCAGCAATGCCTTAAAAGAAAAGAATAGGCAGGGTTTAGTTCAAGATTATCAGGTAAGTTCAGCAAAAGAAAATCTAGAGAACTTAAAAGAGATACTCCATTTGAGTCTCTTGATAAATAGTGAAGAGGGCTTTTTCTTTAGCACCTCCTTTCTGCAAACTAAAACTAACAACATAATAGAGAAGACTGCCTATTACAAACGAAAAAGAAATCTGTTTGGGAAGAACACTAGAGACATTAGCACCCATGCTAGGAATAAGAAAAACATACCCATTATCATTGCAATGATTCAACGCTGTTCTGGAGGCTCCAGCCAATATAGTGAAGGGGGATTATAATTATTTCTTAATTTCATGATAACCTATCTAAAAAAATGCCAAAGAAGCCACCAAAACCTATTAATTGATAAGACAGTTTTAATCATATCCCATATAGCTATATCGAAGCTCTGTGCCAAACATCAGGAGTTGGCAGACTTTTTCCATAAGAGTCAGAGAGTAAATATTTTAGGGTTCGTAGGCCACGAGAACTCTGTAGCAACTATTCAACTCCGCCATGCAACAGCAGCCACTAAAAATGCACAAATGAATAGATACATCTGTCTTCCAGTAAAATTTTTAATAGCTCATTTTATTGTGCTTCTCCATTACCATTTATCTCCCCTATACCCTCTTCCACCTCCACCCACCCCCCGCCCCCCGCAATCACTGCACTGTTGTCCATGTCCATGAGTCCTTTTCCCTTCTTGCTCGACCCCTCCACTGGCCACACCCCCCAAAAGCTGTCAGCCTGCTATCTATGACTCTGTCCATATTTTGGATAAAACAGCTATGGAACATTATGCAATGAAATAGTATTTGGTTATAAAAAGAAAGAAGAAAATTTACTCTTTGTGACAGCACGGATGGACCTGAAGAACATTATGCTAATGAAACGAGCCGGTAAGAGAAAGACAAATACCACGTGATCTCACTCATAGAATGCACAAACTGAACTAAGAATATGACTTTATTTACAAAAACAGTCAATGGGCTGGATCTGGCCCATAGGCTATAGTTTGCTGACCTCTACTTTATACCACAAAAAAAACAGCTGGTGGAGAAAAGTTACCATGTCAAACAGCAAGAAAATTTATAAATAACTTTCAAGGGGCCAGTTCAGCTATATGCATCAAAAATCAAACTGTGGCCCTGACTGCTGTGGCTCGGTGGGTTAGGCATCATCCCGCAAACCAAAAGATTACCAGTTCGATTCCCAGTCAGGGCACATGCCTGGGTTGTGGGCCAGGTCCCTGACTGGGGGTGCATGAGAGGCAGGCAATCGATGTTTCTCTCCCTCTCTTTCTCCCTCCCTTCCCTTCTCTCTAAAAATAAATAAAATATTTTTAAAAATTAAACTGTGAATACTCTTTCAACATAACAAGTCCACTTCTGAGAATTTATACTAAGGATATATTTAGGAAAGGACATAAAAATGTGTACACATGGATACTTATTATAGTGTTATTTGTAAAAAGAAAAATATATAATGATATAATCCATGTCTACAACAAATAGAGCAATTTAAAACATTTTTATTGCTTGATTTCAGATACAGGAAGAAAAGAGAGAGAGAACAGGAGGGAGAGGGAAAGAGGGAGAGGAGGGGAGGAGAGAGACAGAGAAAACACATCAATTTGTTCTTCCACTTATTCATTTATTCAACCATTGCTTCTTCTATATGCCCTGACTGAGAATTAAAGCTGCCGCATTGGGAGATCAGGACAACTCTCTGACCAACTGAGCTACCCAGCTAGGGCTGAAATAGGCTGAAATGCATCACTTTAAAAAAATATTGTATTTCTTTATTTTTAGAGAGGGGAAGGGAGGGAGAGAAGAGAGAAACACCAATGTGTGGTTGCCTCTGGACTGTCCCCCACTGGGGACTTGGCTTGCAACCCAGGCATGTGCCCTGACTGGGAATCCAACCAGCAACCCTTTGGTTTGCAGGCCGGGGGCTGAGTGCACTGAGCCACACCAGCCAGGGCTGAAATACATCATTTTTTAAAGCAGGTGTCAGAACAGTATGCATATCAGATAATTTTTAAGTATATGGGTGTGCAATGAGGTTATACATATATGCTCACAAATGGGGAAAAATATCAGATAATTTTTAAGCATATGGGTGTACAATGAGGTTATACATATATGCTCACAAACGGGGAAAAAACATGTAAAGATATGTACCCATTTGCTTTCTACAGGTGGACGTACGGGTGACATTCTTCTTACTTTATGCATGTTATTTTTGCTCTTTTCTATTTCTCTACTGAGCTTGGAAATGACATTTTTCATTTTTAAAATAAGTCAGCAAACAAAAAAGAGAACCAGTGATGCTCTAAACAATTTACTCTTAGTTCTATGAATTTTAAAGAAGCCCATATACAATATCCTCCTCAAACAAAGCATATCAATAATGGTTTTAATTTTTACATTAAGACATCTTCAAAAAGTTCTTTATATTACTGTAACTGCTTCATGCCCTGAAGATAGAAATCTTGCCTTTTCTTATCCTTCAGTGATATTGCTGCAGGCATGACTGTCTGTGTGCACATACCCCTCATCCAGAAAAAACAATCAGAGAAGGGAAACAGGGAATAGGCAGGAATGGCAGGTGAAGGACCATGTGAGCTAATAATATCTTACAGGGAAATGAAGTACTGGTAAATTCATTCCTCGGGGTCCTATTTATGATTCCATAGTATGGGCCTGTCACCTGTTGGGCTGGGGTAAGACTCTGGCATTCTTGAAAATTGTCATTTATAATTTACAAAGACTAAGTCAGGCCTCTTGGTAGAAAATGCAAATCCATATGATTTTTATCTAGTTATGAAATTTAAGCATGTATTTCCTTACAATTGACAGCAGGTATCTATTTTGCCAAGTTTCAATTGTTATCATTCAAGTGGAAATTGATACACAATTAATTTTCATGTCCTTAAAAGCTTGGGAAAGAAGAGGAGGCTGGGCAAAAAAAATGATGGTCCTTATAACTTCTCAGAAATTCTTTGGAGGTGTGACTGGACACAAGTTATATGGTGTAACTCACGGTTACCAAAAAGAGAAAAACTTGTCCCTTCTCAAAACAACAGCCTTATCCAGCTTGTAAATTTACTAATTTCCCTCATGAAGTGGCTTTCTCCAATAGCTCAGCATAAAAACTTGATCCACTGCAAACAGAAGATCTTCTAGTAAAATACGTTTTCAACATCTGTAGTGTGTGTGCACACACATATGCAAGTGTGGGCATGCACGCACATGTGAGTAAGTGTCATTGCTAAGAGAGGCCATGGGAGAAAAGACAGTCTCCTCAGAGCCAAATTAGAAGTTAACAGGAACAATATGACAAACACAAGGTCATCCAGAGTTCTCAAAAGTGATGTCAAACAACGATGAGGTGTTAAGTATACTCTGCAAGCCATCAAAACATAGGACACAATGAGCAAGTGGTAAAGTGCGCTCTGAAAGCGAGAGACAAATAAGTACGCTAATATAACATGTTTTCATTAACTATTCCTTTACGCCCAATCTCAATCACACGCTATTTATCCTTCAGTAGCAGAAATCAGTATTGTCAAACATGAGCATAATGACCCACACTAAGCTTGTGTTGAGAATGAGATTGGAATTCTACAACTTTCCTTTCTTCTTTTAAAATATTTTATTTATTTATTTTTAGAGAGAGGGGAAGGGAAGGAGAAAGAGTGGGAGAGAAACATCAATGTGTGGTTGCCTCTCATGTGTCCCCACTGGGGACCTGGCCTGCAACCCAGGCATGTGCCCTGCCTGGGAATCAAACCGGCGATCCTTTGCTTCACAGGCCCATGCTCAATCCACTGAGCTACACCAGCCAGGGGCACAACTTTCCTTTCAATCTTCCATTTTTTAAATCTTGAACATAAATTCAGTATAGTTAAAAAGTGAACAGTCATGCTTCAAATCCAAAATTATATTTTTCTTGTCAAATACTGCTCTCTGTAAAGTGCATCACCAAACCCCGGTAGAAACTTACCCTTCAACTTGAGGTCGACATTATGTCTCAGCCAAGGATAAACCCCATAGCTTGGCATATCTTCAGGAATTGGATTACTGTTTATCCAGCCATCACAAGCAAACCGGAAAAAATTATCACAAGGGTCCACAGACGGATTTACTTTACTCAAGATGGCAGCAGCTATTTAAAAAGAAAGTCATAGGATTAATGACAATCACTGAATGTTGTGCACTGGCCTCTTCCAAATTAAACAACACTTTCCTATCAGCCAGTTCCCAAGCCTTGTCTTTTACATTTCCCCTTAAATGACTCCCTGAATCAAGTGCACCATACCCAATTACCACATTCAGAGCGAGTTGGTTAAAAGTTTGCTATTATTGCTATTTGGTTTTACAGGACCACTCCTAATAATCTTTGGGACATAGGACAGACATACAAATGGGGTATATACTAAATTGTTTGCAGAGATGCATGCAACACTTCCTTCCAGCCCTCTCATCCTTCTGCTAGGTGACTTTGCCACTCTTCCCATCGAACAGTAGGAGCTATTCCCCCTGCCTTGAATCTGGACTGGCCTTGTGACTTCCTTTGACCAACAGAATGTGACAGACTAAATCTTAACAGGCCTGACACCCTCCATGTTAACTCTCTTTGACAGTGACCAGAGGGGAGAAGGGAGGGAATTTCAGGGGGAAGGGTTTGCAGGAATAAGTATAAAGGACACATGGACAAAAACAAGGATGGGGTGCAAATAGGAGGAAGGTGGGGAGGACTTGGGGGAGTGGGCTGAGATGGGGGTAAGAGGCAGAAAACTGTACTTGAACAACAATTAAAATAAAACCAATCAATCAATCAATCAATCAAACTCCCTTTGAATGGAGTCCTGAGACTGGAGGAGGTCAGGCCACGTGGAGAGGAACCAAGTCAGCACCGACTGCCAGATTGAGGCCGTCATGGACCTTCTAGGCCAGGCAACCCTCCAGGTGAATGTAGCCCAGCAGAGGAACCCCCACTGAAACCACAGAATCATGAAAAATATTAAATCACTCTTGTTTCAGGCCTCTAAGGTTGGTTTATTCCACAACAAAGGCTAACTGAAACAGAAGCCCACATGTCATATCTAAATATTTAAGAGATATATTTACAATAGACCTTCATAAAGACCTAGAAGGCCAGGTGTGAGTCCTCGAGCCACTTGACATTCAGAGCAGCTCTCAGAGTAGTGAACTCACCGATGAGACCCACACAGTCTGTGAAAGGAGGTGTGGGAGTAACTAGCAGGGAACTCTGGGCTATAGAAGGCTGCTGACTTGGCCCCATAGACTCCTTGACTGGGGAGGAGAGCAAAGTGGGCTGACGGACCGAAGGCAGAGGCCTCTCCTCCCCATGTCTAAGGGCAGAAGTGAGTATTTATGTAAAGTGAACAGAAAGATACAACAGACTGATGCAGCATTTTTTCCCTCTTTCATAAGGCCACATACAATTATATACGAAAGATCGTCGATAGGCAGGAAGTTCGTACAAATTTAAATGTTTCCATGAGCAGAAAAATAATCTTTCATTACAAAATGAGAAGGTTCTCAAATTCCTAACATTGAACTCCAACTCACTTCCAACTGTCAGACAATTGCTGGCTACCACTGTAGCGCTGAGATATGCGCCAACTGATTTGTTTTCAAAGACAGCCAATATTTTAATGATATTGGAAAAATGACATTCTGGGTAGTTTTCATACTCTAATTAATGCCAGAATACATTTCTATTCAAAGTGATGAGAACCCAATGAGTTTTCAGCTAAATTTGAATAAATTGTCCCCAAAAGTATAATCTTCATAAATTTAGGTACACATATTAGTTTGGTCACATATGTGGTTCCTCCAAGTTTAAAAGTAAGGCTAGATATTTCTCTTGCCTTGATTTTCTAGGAAAAGTTCAAAGAGTTTTTTGTCTTCAGAGAAGTAAATAACATACAAACCTCCTAACTTTCATAAGACTTCAAAATCCCTACCACTCTCAACCTCCCCCAAAAAAGGAACAAAGGAAAAAAACAGTTTAGAAGTCAGATAAAATTCAAAATTGGCTTGATATTTTCATCTTTCAGAATATGGTTGTCTCCAATTACATTTTTACTTACTGCTACTGTTTCATAATAATTTAATATGCAAATATGGTGTGCTCGGTCACATAAAATCTTCATTACATTTTGTACTTATAGTTCTACTGGCTGTGCAGCCACAGTATGAATATTCTATGTGACACCTCAAGGTCATTGATCATGCACGTTTCAGTCCCACACAGTATTTACACTCACACGAACCCTCGCACACATTTTTATTCACATAAGCACATTGTTTTCTGGATGCCTCCCAACCCTCAAATGTATCCCTCCCCATCTCCTCAGTATTCTTGCAGGTACCTAGAAAAACTGCAAGGTCAGCTCTGACCTCAGCCATGATATAAAGTAGAGGAATACATCACTCATACTGAATTTGGAACTGAGCCCGCTGAACAGGAAAACTCTAGCTTCAGCCTCCCAATTCATCTTTCACAATTCACAGCTGGGCACAGAGCTGCACTTTCAGAAGGGGAACTGTGACTTTAAATTGCAAAGGACCATAGCTGTCAAGACACCAAAACTCCCTTGCCCTTACTCAGCTTCATGGAGAAAATTCAGGAGGTCTTGTTTTAATAAAAGAAATATGATGATGAAGGAAACCTGTTTTATGTATTCTCTCAAGTCGCTGCATATAAGGTGAATTGTTACACGGTTTCCAACTAGTGTTTACGTAGTAGAGGGGGTGCTACACCCCATATACCAGGCTGTTTATAAGTTTAATCAGGGCTGAAGAGAAAGGAGGAAGGTGTTAATAATAATAAATATTGGGCATTTCCTCTGTGCCAGAACTATGCTAGCCCTTTCTTTTCAGGCAGTATCATCACAGACTCCGGAGCCAGACCACCCCGGTTTGAATGCCAGCAATACCATGCAATAGCTATGTAACTCCAGGCAGATTACTTAATCTCTCTACGTCTTAGTTTTCTCATTTGTAAAATGGGGATCATAATAACACCCCATAGGATTTTCATAGAAGTTAAATGAGTAAATACATGTAAAGTGCTTAGAACAGTGCCAGGAACACTGCCAAATAATACAGTTGCCAGGTACAATACAGGATGACTAGTGAAATTTGAATTTCAGACAAACGACTACTTTTATAGTATAAATTCACACCAAATACTGCACGGGACGCTTATGCAAAAAAAAAAAAAGTAGTCATTGGATATCTGCAATTCAAGTTTAACTGAGCATCCTGAATGTATGTGTGTAGCTAAATCTGGGAACCATGCATATACATTTTCAATATTACAGTTTCACAAACACTTAACTGAAACTTGAGGCCAGATATTTCAGCGCTCATAGATGTTGAAATCTCAGAAAAGTAATACAGTGCATATAGCACAGATTATATAAGGCCTCCGGCAACATCTGGAGTGGTACTCCTAAAGCAAGCACATTAATAATTCTACTGGGACTATATACATATGCTCATAAATAAGAAAAAGAAAGTCTAAAACAGCCTCACATAAGTTAACATCAGTTTTGCCACCACAGAAGTTGCGCTCAGGTCCAGTCGTACCAAGAGTTACCATGCTTTATGGGTTTGGGGTTAAGGATCTGGAATTGTAGACCTGGGATACTACACCCCCATCATTTTCTTCTAGTTTCACAACTAGCATGAGAGATAAAAAACTGTTATTCTCACTCTATGATTGTGAAACTGAGACTTTACATGGCTGTGATCATGTGGCTTGTAAGTGGCCAAATTGTGCTAAAAACCCAAGCCAGACTCTGCCTTTATCCAGCATTAGCATACCTGTTCCTTTCATTCTTCTCTTCTTCCTCCACTTCCTTTTTTAAGGATTTTATTTATTTATTTTTAGAGACAGGAAAGGGAATAAGAAAGAGAAGAGAGAAACATTAATGTGTGGTTGCCTCTGGAGCACCCCCTACTGGGCACCTGGCCCCCAATCCAGGTATGTGCCCTGATTGGGACTCAAACCAGTGATCTTTTGGTTCACAGCCCACAGTCTACTGAGCTTCCCCAGCCAGGGCTCCACTTATTTTAAAAGAGGGGTTAAAATAGGACAAGTGGAAAAGGGGAAGAAAAGAGACATATATAGGAGACATCTTAGAAAGGGTGCACAAGCCAATCACTTTCTAGCATGCAGTGCCCACACACACGTGGCAACCACACATGCATGCATGTACACAGTGCATGTACAGGCATGCCGGCACACTCAAGGCACCCATGCATGCACATGCACACAAGGCACAGATGCACGCACGTGGGACCACACATGCACACACTCCAACATACACAACGCATTCGGGCACAGTGCATGTAGTAACACAGCACAAGGCACCATGCAGGCATGCACACACAACACACTGACGCAAGCGCAAGGCACACGGGCAGGCATACAGGCACTTACAAGGCCCCCATGCACGCACGCACGCACAAGACACTCACGCATGCGCATGGCACGTAGGCAGGCACGCAAAGCACTTACAAGGCCCCCATGCACGCACGCACACACGCACGCACCCACAAGGTGAGCACGCAGGGACGCCAGCCTGCGCCAGAAGCCCACATACGCACGCACTCAGGCATGCGCAAGGCATGCACGCCCAAGGTTCTCGTGCGCGTACACGGCATTGTTCCAGACCATCTTTTCGCTACAAATTGTGTGATGTGCAGTCTGCAGCTGTTTCTCAGAGCCCTGTGCATAGTGGGGCTTGCATTACACTAGAGGACTATTATCTTCGGTGAGTCTTTACAGAAACAGCAAAAATATTTTTTTCAATAGTAGAAAGCCATTCTCCAACGTGAAAATTAAAAACAAGACAGCAAGGTGAAACACAGTACCTGGCAATAGGTGAAATATTATGTAAGTTTTTCTTTTTCCTCATTGTGATTCATTATAAAAAGATAAAATTCATTAAATAAGTGGCCCTCTGTACGAAAGGTTGACTAAACTCAAATTGAAAATGTGTGCATTCAAAAATTTCATTTTCACACATGTGCAAGAACCCTACCACAGCAAAAGCATGAGGTGACATAAAGTCTAAATCCCAGCCTCTGATAGTCCCACCTGGTGCCCCACTCTATTCTAGGTCATTCTCTCCCCTCTGGAGAAAACCCTAGGTCAGCACAGGCTGGAAACAGGAAAGGGCCTGGGAATTATATCTTTTTTGCCCTTCAGGGACAAGATCAAGAAGCTGAAATCATTGCCTAATCACTAGATTCTAGTAGATCTAGTATTATGATAAAAAGAGCAAGACAGGGACAAGGATCAAAGAGAGGAATCTGGCATGGTCTTGTGGCACTAAGGGACAAATGCAGAGGAGCCAGACGTGAGCGTGAAGTCCAGCGGCGCTGCTAACTCAGGATGTGACCCTGGGTGAGTGAGTTAGCTTCTACAAGCCTACATTTTCTCATTTGGAAGTGAGCCTGGTGATAGCACTGACTTCATGGGGTTCTTACATAGATTTTATAAGATGGCCCATGTAAGTCACTTAACACATTGCCTGGTTAAAAATATATATCAATATATTGATAAGAATGGAACAAAAGAACACTAATAACATAATTATCTACCCCATTACCTTTGCATAAGGCCTCAGTTTAAAAGCTCTTCCACCTAGGTCGCTCCCATCTCAATGAATGCCACCACCCACCCACCACCAAAAATCTAAACATCACCATGCTCTGCATCTTCTCACAGTCTGCATACAGTCTTTCAGCCAGCCCCCCATCTCCTAAGCCCTCTAGACTCCCTTTCCATCTCTTGAATTCAAGACAGCACCATCTCTCACCTGGCTCACCAAAATAACCTCCTGACCCAGCAACTTTGTCCATTTTTACTCCCTATAGTCTCTTCCCCATGCAGAAAGACTCTCAAAGAGGCTAGCTCTCCAAAGACAGATCTTTTTAGATACGGATACATCAAACTTTCCAATCTGGCCATCCTGTCACTTGCTATCACGTTATTCTATTTTAATATTTTGATTTTCTGCATAACATGTGTCACCAGCTGATATTTTACCTGTGTACTGATTGCATTGTGTGTTTGTTAGTTGTCTCGCTTCCCTTATCTGGTCATTCTGCTTCGCTGCCGTACAGGCAGACCTCAGAGATACTGCAGGTTGGGATCTGGACCGCCGTAATAAAGTGAGTGGTGCAATAAAGTGAGTGGCACAATAAAGTGAGTCATAATATTTTTGCTGGTGGAGGATCTTACCTTCAATTTTTTTTGGGGGGGAAGCAACATCTGTAAGGCACAATAAATTGAAGCTCAATAAAGTGAGGCATGCCCGCATTGCCAAAACCTAACTCAGTGCCTGGAGTGCAATAAATATTTAGTGAATTAATTCATTAATTTCTTTAAGGCCAACAGGAAAGTTAAAGGGTCTTGTGTTTAACTTAGTTTATGGCTTTCTCTTTGGAACACAGTAGTGGCACTGTCCACCTGAAGAATGCGGGTAGGGGCTAGAATCTGGGTCCTGCAAATCTAGGCTCTAACACTGGTTTATGGAGGAAATCTAATAGCTATGGCAAAACCAAGACAACTTTAAGCACTCAGCTTCATTTGAGCGAACCCACTGCTATACGGCCTGATCACCTCAAGGCAAATTTGACTTATAACATGGATTAGAAAGACCCAAAGAGATTCCACATTACAGTGGAATCATGAAATTACAGAGGGTCCCTGCTTAGCTGCAAACAGTTCAAATCTACTAACCAGAAGATTCAGAAAGACTGCTTAAGATAAATAAGAATCTGTATGCAGTTGAGGCTACTGGAAGGTCAATGGTCTCCGTCTTTGGGCCTTAAGGGAGGCCATTCAGCCTTCCAAGTCCCTTCCTGATTTCCTTGTACAGGAATACGTTGGTGTCTTCAGAGGGAGGTTTCTGTCTTTTTATTAAACTTATTAAGATGTCATTGGTTAATAACATTATATAGATTTGAAGTGTTTTTATAGCACTTTGTTTTATTGCTCTTCACAGATGTTGAGGGTGTTTGTTTGTTTGTTTGTTTGTTTGTTTTTTACCAACTGAAGGCAAGACCCTCCACCAGCAAAAAGATTACTGTTCACTTCTTGCAATGCTTGCTTTCTTGCGGTGGTCTGGAACTGAAACCACAATATCTCTGAGGGTTGCCTATAATGACTTAGAATACTGCACAGCTGTTTTTTGCAAGGAAAAAGAAAACAGGAACCCTGCGCTCCACGACTTCACACCAAGACTTGAAAGTAAACTTAAAATTTCATCAAAATTGCATTTCGTACTTGGTAAACCTCAAGCAAACAGAATACTAAAAATACCACCTGTTTTCTCTTCCACTCCCCAAGGTACCATAATTATAACTTGACACAGGATGGAAAACTGACTTACCAGCTTCGATGCATTCTGGCTTCAGGCAGTACTCCTGTTTAGCTTGGAGACTTAAGAAACCTTGACTCACTGAAAAAACAGACCAAAATAAAGAAATGACTGGCTTGAAGCAGACCACCATCAGGTAACCCACCATCAGGTAACGCACCACCAGGCACATATGCAAGACATCTGACATCAGTTCATGTTTCTTAGTACTGACACAGAATTCAAAAACCCAGTGGGCTCAATATCACAGAACCAGACTCTGGTCACTAGCTATGGAACCTTGGTGAGACTCCTGGTTGCTCTGAAACTCAGTTCTCTAGAACACAAGATGAGTGGGGACAACTGGACCAGTGCTTCCTTGGGCAATGGCAACAGCATCACCTGGTAGCTTGTTAGAAATGCAAATTACTGAGCCCTGCAGACCTGAATCAGAAACGCTGGGATGGGGTCCACCATCTGCATTTTAACAAGCCCTCCAGGCTCACATTTGAGAACCAGTGGGCTAGGAAATCTCTAGTCTCTTCCATTTCCTATTATATGTGATGTAAGCCTCATAATTTTACTCTCCTTGTTTACAACTCCATTCTTGTTTTAGTGATGGGAAAATTGAAACTTATGTCATGTGGAGCAAATCCTGAGGGAAAGGAGGAAGCCGACATGTGGCATTTAAAGTTCTGGATCTTCTCTAAACCATCCACATCGATAAGGCCCAGACGGGGCAGTAGGTAATATATGGGGTCTAGCAGAAGTAACACCTGCTTGAGTGTGATTGGTAGGGGAATAATATGGGTGTCATGATTTATAATTGTAATTTGAACATGTCACCTAAAATGTCATATGGTGTGCTTGAGTGTGACATTGTTATATTATGGAATTACATGCTTATGATTTTGTAATAAAAGATTTTGTAATTAAAAAGGGCGTTATTTGTGCCAGACCCTGTATATTGTATTTAACTCAATCATCTAGCGAGAGAGTCATTATCTGCTTGCCCCATACCCCACACACCATCCTCCCTCCAGACCCAGCCTGGCTACCAGACAGATGCAGCTCCATGGACTAAGCTTTCAACAACTTCCACCAAGACAAAACAGAACAAAACCCAGCAAGATGGAAGCAGCTTTTCACCAATAGCTTAATTTCCCCCATCTGGTGCAACATTATCTAAATGGATTTCTGCAGGAGTACAGAACAGTGCCCCATTTGTAACCTCCAGGTAGCACCTGGGCCTTAGCAAATGTGAGTTTAGATTTCAAAAATATTTTTGGTAGTCAAGGAAGTTGTGGAGAAACCATCATCACTGTACTCTGTGGGCAGAAACAGGGAATCACTCGGAGATGTGGCGGTGGGGAGATGGGTGGTGGGGGCGGGGAGGAGGGGCAGCCAAGGCCTTTCCTGGCATCCCCAGCTGAGAAGCAGGACCAGAAAGCGCGGCGCGGTACCTCCATTTCTGCTAGAGACGGAACACTTGTACATCACTTGCCAGGGTGGCAGTTTGTGTTATTTATTAACCTGCATTCTAAGAGGAACCGGCTTTTTCTTTATTCTTACCTCTTACCTCAGGTAAAAGAGAGCCTTTTACCTGCATTACATTATAGATTTAAAAAACTGCCTATGGAAACTCTCAGGCCTATTTTAAGAAATAGTATCCTTGCATAAAGGTGTGTTTTGATTTCTTTAAAAGGCAAAGAAAAAAGTTAGGTTAAAATATATCTGTGCAGTGTGTAAAGATTAGTACTGAATATTTCAGTGTGCCTGGGTGGTGGAACCATGGAGGAAATTTTCCCTTCAGTCTACTTCCATCTGTTTACCAAATGTTCTTTAATGAGCATGTGTTATTTTTTTTATAATGGAGAAATAAACTTTATTTTAAATAATAATTTTATGATTCTGGAGAATAGTTTCTGGATACCAGCCTTGTTTAATTTTAGAAAAAAGAGAATGAAATACTTAATTTGAAGACTTAACTACTTTCAAGGTATAAACTTCCAGTTATAAAGTAAATTGACCATGAGAATGTAATGTACAGCATGGTGACTCTTGTTAATAATACTGTATTGCATATATGAAAGTTGATGAGAGAGTAGATCTTAAAAGTTCTCATCACAAGAAAAAAGTATATAACTATGTGATATACTTTGGATCACAGTGATGGATCACAGTAGACTTATTGTAATCATTTTTGCAATATATACCAATAACAAATCATTACATTGTACACCTGAAACTAATATTATTTGTCAATTATATCTCAATAAAACATTTAAAGATTTAGTCCTTTAATGGAAAATAATTCTTGACCCCAAACCTCTAAGGAAGCAGAACTAAACTCAAATATCTTTATCTGATGATGAGTAAAAGAAAGGTTTAGCTTGGCTGGTGTGGCTCAGTGGATTGAGCACCAGCCTGAGGACCAAAAGGTTGCTGGTTTGATTCCCAGTCAGGGCACATGCCTGGGTTGTGGGCTAATTCCCCAGATTAGAGAGTGCAACAGGCATGTGTGGCATGTTGATTTTTTTTCTCCCTCCTTTCCCCTGTCTCTAAAAATAAATAAAATCTTTTTTAAAAAATATTTAAATGAAATAAGATGGAAACAGACCCAACCCCTAAGGAAGAGCATTATATCCATGGCTGGAGCGGGGGCGGGGGTGGTGGGATTATCTTAAGATCCTGCAAATACAAGCCCAGATAATATGAAGGGTGTACCTGAATGAAATAGGAGACAACAAAGAAAATCTTTTTCATACAGGAAATGAAAATGTTAGTTTTTACTGATTAGGAGCTTTTAGAAAACTTTAACAGCAGTTTGGTTCCTCATTTTAGATTTCTCTACAGCCAGCAGAAGTGACTACACAGCGCAGTGGGGTCATCCACAGATGGAGAGGATGAGCGTGACCATAAGTGGGGTCAGCAAACATGGCCCGTGGGCCCACCCAGTCCACTGCCTGTTTCTGTACGGCCCACGAGCTAAAAGTGGTTCTTAACATTTTAGTGATTGTTACAAAATCAGTTAAAATAGAATAACATTTTGGGACATGTAAAAATGATCTGAACTTCAAATTTCAATGTCCAAAAATCAAATTGTACCAGAACACCGCCATGCCCATTGTATCTATATTGTCAGTGGCTATTTTTGTGCTACCACAGAGTTGAGTAGCTGCAAGAGAAACAGTATGGCCCAGAAAGCCACAAACATTTACTATCTAGCCCTTTACAAAGAGAACTTTGCTAATCATTGCATTTGAGAAACAGATCCTGGGGAGGAGGGGTGGGAGAGGAGGGAGGAGGAGAAAGGAGAGTTCAAGCTAATCTGGTTATAGGCACATTATTATACTTGACATCTTAACTCCCAGTGCTCTAAATTCTCTGAGACCACCCGAGGCCCGTGGCAATCCCTCTTACTGTAGAAGGACTAAAGTTCTAAAAAGAGATTACCCCAGAGTAAAGGGAAATGCTACAAATTGCAGACATGTGACCGAACTTGAACAGGTGGAAGAATATACCACAAAGTCAACCCGGAGGCACCTTGAAGAGAAGAGGACCTTAACTAGAATATTGGCACCAAGAGCATTGCCTGACAGGTCCCAGGAGATTTTCAGGCAAGGACTTTGCTGGGCACAGGGTGGAGGTGGGGGGGCAGAGCCTGTGGAACTAGGTAATGAAAAGGGTGGGGGAACAGAAGGAGTCTGAAATAGTGCAGAGATGTTTCACAAAATTAGCATTTATTTTTCATTTGAGAGTGTAAATATATTTTAAAGCAAAGCAAGTATCTCTGAAGGTATGCATCCAAATGGATGTGGTGACCTGAAGCAATGCTTCTCGAACTTTAATTTGGTGAAAATGCAGATTCTGAATCAGTAGGGCTGAGGTGGTGACACGCAGGCTTGCAAATGATGCTGGTGCTGTTGGTCTACGGACCACACTTTGAGTAGCAAAGGTATAAAATGGGCACCCCTAAATTCATTAGAGCTCCTCTTAAAGATTCACGATGACAGCCAGGTTATTGGGCATACTGGAAAGTCTTTTTTTTTTTTCTATTATATGCAGACCTCCTTACCCGTAACAGCACCAACTGGCTTGGTGAATTTTCCTGTGCTCTAGAAACTTTAGAGATCATCCCAAAGAATCACATTCTCTCAAAGAACAAAGATTTGCTGCCATCAAGAATATTCCAGCTAATATGCTACAGCCTCAGAATGTAATCATAGCAATGGAATTCCAAAAAAGTTCAAGCCGCAGTAACATCATTAAAAAAGAGTACATATTGTAACATAAACAATCATCATTTGGATTTTTAGGTTGGGAGTGTTTTCAAAATACAAATAGTGTAACTTTGCAGTCACGTCCCACATGGTATATAGTGCCTTGGCATGCCCTTATCATTTTTCCTCCAGGTTTGAGTTTTTGGATAGAACACTTGCCTAAAACCCAGGTGCCAAGAAATCTCATAACAGTTTACAAGAGCCACGAATTTGGTTGCAGGAGTAGGAGGTTTAACTGTACCAGAAAGCGATCAACCCATCTAATTCCCTTATATTTTCAGCCACAGATAACATGGAAAGATGGTTTGCTCATTTTAGCAGAGTTTTCAACCACACAACCCTAACTCTTTTAAACTTTAATTACTGGTTTTCCCCTGCCAAGATAAACATGGTCTCCTGTATCCTGTATATGCCAAGGAATGTTTCCAGGCATGTTCCGTTTCAAACAGCACCTAGAATCTCCTAAGTATAGTGCTTGGTCCCAACAACTTTCAAACTAATGAAATTGTACAGGCCATATGAGAAAAGTACAAAGGCTGATTGTCAAGGGGTTCAGAATGCCTACAGTCTTTACAAGGTATCTCATTCTTTTTCATGGAATATGTTTTCATCATCATATATTCTCCCTGGGTACCTTATTCTCACCAAGAGTTATTAAAATAATTGAATCACTATCCTTTTCAAATCTTGGAAGGAAACTTGTTTTCCTTCATATCAATTTCTAAATCTAATGGAAAGGTCAAGTTAAAATTTTATCCCACCAGAGTTAGTGGATTAGAAAGGAATCGAAGAATATCATTAAAGGTGCATTTAAGAAATGAATTTGTATTTTGTGAGTTAAATTTCATGATTCATCCAGGCAAAATTGACAAAAATCAAATGGAAAGAAATTCCAGCATGGTTTTGATCACAGTGCAAGTCCTTCCTCACAAAATAAATGAAAGTATCTGACTATGAATTCATAAACACTCATTTTGCTAACTGTAACGCATAAAAACAATGTTTGCCCCGTGCAACCGAATCCTCCCACCACTCGAAGCCAGCTTATACCCACTTCGAATTCTACACTACGCACGGCATACTTGCATGTATTTATTTATTTAGCCTTCTAAAGAAAAGGCTTCCTCTATTTGCATATTTAATAGAAACTAAGGATGCACCCCCTCCAACACAAGCAAACAGCCCTCCACCTGCATCCTGACACGGTCAGACAGAATGAAGCACAAAGAGATTTCACTGCACTTGCCCAAGTTCCCCGGTTTCCAGCGTCCCACCTACCTAGAAAGAGGACGGTGCCCAGCACCAGGGTGCTACCGATGAACACCACCAGGGCAATTCGAGTGCCTCTGTTGGCCACCTTCCCAGTCTCCATGCTGCTCCCCGTTTCTGCTTCCATCGGGAAGGATGCGGAGGCCACGCCAGAAAAGAGTCACTGTTTGTGGTTTGTTGGCTGGTCTCAAGAATCTGTTAGGTGTTGACATCCAAAGTACTCTTGCTCTTCTACTAATGGGCAGCTTTAAAAAGTCCCATCAGGAAATATCCCCTCGCCGCCCCTTCTCAAATAGTTCTTCACAAATGAAGTAAAAGAAACCCAAAATATTGGTTGCCTTGGCTTTCCCCCTGACCAGACAAAACAAACACTGGTTGCTTTATCTTGGTGTGCTCCCCCCCAGCAAAGTCCCTCTCAAACGATTGTTTGGCAGGCTCTTCTCTCAGGCGTTCCGGGTGTACATGTTTTACTGTGTTGCTGAACAGATGTTTTAGCTATTTAAATGTATAGTCACTTGGGGAGGAAAGAACAATTGTCTTTATCAAAACTGGATTCTCATCAAATGCCCCCTGACCGTGATAAGTTAGGTGGCAAGGATTCTCCGGACCCACTTCAGATCGCAAGGAATCACGTAATTCTTTTTGCAATAATCATTCTGCTTGCCTGAATTGTCTTCATCAAAGATATTCTTTCAGTGAGCAAGTTCCTTTTTAAAGCCTTCTAAGAGTTCCTGGGATATCCTGGAGCATTTTATTTTAGGAACTTTGTGTATGACAGCATGTGCCAAAAATCAGAGTCATAGTCCAGTGTAGTGCAAAGTAGCAATTAAGACAACCTACAGAGGCTGACGGTTTGGACTGGAACTTTTTATTTTAAGGAGGAAGGAAAAAAGCCAGACCTGTCTGCAGTGCTAAGAATTGTACAAAAGACAGGTAAGTTTTCAAATTAAGCATATTAGCAACCAAGAAAAATACAGTAAAAGATTTTTGTGCCCGGCATGAATTGAGAAGTGTCCCCCGTGTGTTTCGTCTTCTAGTCCCACGAAGACAGTGATTGGTCACTACATTGTTGTGTTTACATAAAGTACCCATTTCAGCAGATTCCCCAGAATGACTTCAAAGGCAGTTGGTTTCTTTGGAAAGACTGATTAATGGCTGGATCATTCATTTCTTTTATTAAGCTAAAGTTTTAAGTCATAAAAATCTGCTTTCTTCCCGGGAAAGGGCAACCATTATTCCAATGCTTTCAAAATGATAAACATTTTATAATCTGATTACAGAGACGGGTACAAGTAGGTTTACAGTTGTGAGTACACAAGAAACAGAATTTATTCTTGTATTACTTATACCCATACAATAATTAATAAATATTAATTATTGTACTGTCTGTTATTAAGCTACTTTTCCCACCCCTGTGAATCATTAATTCACAACACAATTATTACTTACCTGTTCTTGTTTTACTGGAGGTCATAACAAAGTGTGACTAGGCAGTGGAGAATTCAGCTACATTTAAAAACTGATGGGTGAAGCCTTTTTCTCATACAAAATTGGTGCCTATGGGCCTGGAGGTTACATCAGAGCTCAGTAGAGACTGATGAGCCTGGAATAATGCAGCCCTGTGTTCGTGATCTTATCTGGCTGATCCCAGTCAGGCTTTAGACCCTTAGCATAGGATTCTCCCAAGATTTTAAACTTATTTTATAGCATCCTACCATCTTACTTTCTGCTCAGTTCATGTTGCCTCAAAGTCAGAAGAGCATAACCCTTGTCCAAATTATGATATCACAGCATGTACAGATATTATGTGCTCACTGGCTGTTGATATCTTTTTGTTTGTTTGTTTGTTATTCTATAACATATCCTAGCAGGCCTTAGTCTCCTAGGTTGTTCTCCCAAGAGGTTTTGGATTTGACTCCATAATACTTCTTAGACTGTGAGTTCCATGAGGTACAGGATCATGTCCATCAAGTTGGGTGCTGCAGCTCCAGCATCTACAATTCCTTGCCCATAACAGCAAAGGGAGAAATAAGACCAATGAAAATCATCCAAGTTAGTGCTAGCTATTTGTTCTTAAAAAGCAGAGCTTCAGGAACCTCAGATGCTAGTGGCTGGGGGTTTTCGGCTTCCTAGTTCCTTCTAAATGCTCCAATGATAATGATAGGTCACATGGGCATAGCACTTTCGTATCCCCTGTTAACCTCAGGGCAAACCCATATACTTGATAACAAGGGTATTTTCATCTCTGGTCAACAAAGGAAAACACTGAGGCCCAAGGCCCCAGAAAATGGAAAACTGGTGAGGAGGATCACTGCCACACATATGCTCCAAACCTCACACATTTTGGGTGCAAACTGACATGCAATGGTGGCCATAGGCTGCCAGCTGGCGTAGCCTTTACCCTCCTTAGACTGGCAATTTCCCCACAGGTAAGGGCATCTTGGGCTTACCCTGATGTACACCTACCCCATCCCTTATCAACACGAATTTTTAAAAATATTTTATTTATTTATTTTTAAAGATAGGGGAAGGGAAGGAGAAAGAGAAGAAAACAGCATGCAGCATGTGTGGTTGCCTCTTGCGTGACCCCTACTGGGCACCTGGCCCAAAACCAGGGCATGTGCTCTGACTGGGAACCAAACCAGTGACCCCTCAGTTCATAGGCTGGCACTCAATCCACTGAGCAACTCAATCCACACCAGCCAGCGGCAACATGAATTCATCCCCAAACATTCAACTACTAAGTGAAAAACCATAAACCAAAAAAAAAAAATAGTGTCCATAATTATAACAAAAAAAGTATAATTCATTCCATCCCAAACCAAGGTACACAAATGCAGATAGAAAAATGTACTAATCGAACGATGAAAACAACTGTATGAGAATTATTCACAGCTTTCAACATACTGAAAATAATTTGTATTGATATAATATAATGAAGACTTATTTTACTCACCACACTAGTAAATAAAGACTTCAGAAGGGGTGGGAAATGCTAGAAGAAAGGGTATGGGTGAATTATTCATTGTAAGGAGCATTCTTCCTTCTGTGCCATTGTCTACATTAATTTCCAACCTTTTGGGAGATGATGATTATCCTGTATTCAAACTGCTTTTAAAAATAAAGTTGTAAGCCCTGGCTGGTGTGGCTCAGTAGAGCACGGGATTGCAAACCAAAGGGTTGCCGGTTTGATTCCCAGTCAGCACACAGGCCTGGGTTGGCTCCAGGTCCACAGTAGGGGGTGTGCGAGAGGCAACTACACAGGAATATTTCTCTCCCTCTCTTTCACCGTCCCTTCCCCTCTGTCTAAAAATAAATAAATAAAATCTTTAAAAAATAAATAAAGTTGTAGCACAGAAAAAAATTCCTCCTAGAAAAAAAAAGAGAAGTCCAAAACACAGAAATAATGCATGCTCATAAAAGATGAAAATAAGGATCTGCATACTATGGCACATGGGCCAAACTTAGCCCACTGCCTGCTTTTGTAAATAAAGTTATATGGTAACAAAGTCATGCCCATTTCTTTACATATTGTTTACCACTGCTTTCATGCTACAAGGTCAGAGTTCAGTTGTTTTGCAATACATATAATATAGCCTGTGAAGCTTAGAATATTTACTCTTTGGCCCTTTACAAAAAGGCTTACCACTCTGCATCACCAAAGAAACCATCAACAAAATGAAAAGGGAACTCACTGAATGAGAGAACGTATTTGCCAGTGATGCATCCGATAAAGGGTTCATTTCCAAAATATATAAAGAACATATACAATTCAACACCGGGAAGGCAAACAACCCAATTAAGAAATGGGCAAAGGACTTGAATGCACACTTCTCCAAAGAGGGCATACAAATGGCCAATACACATATGAAAAGATGTTCAATGTCATGAATCATCAGAGAGATACAAACTGAAACCACAGATATATCACCTCACACCTGTCGGAATGGCCATCATCAATAAATCAACAAACAAGTACTGGCAAGAATGTGGGGAAACACGAACCCTAGTGCACTGTGGGTGGGAATGCAGACTGGTGGTGCAGCCACTGTGGAAAACAGTATAGAGTTTCCCCAAAAAACTAAAGATGGAACTGCCTTTTGACCTGGCAATTCCACTGCTGGGGTTATACCCTAAGAATCCTGAAATACGAATGAGAAACAATATACGTACCCCTATGTTCATTGCACTGTTATTATAACAGCCAAAATCTGGAAGCAGCCCAAGTGCCCATCAGCAGATGAGTGGATAAAACAGCTGTGGTATACTTACACAATGGAATACCATGCAGCTGTAAAAAATAAGGAACTCTTACCCTTTGCAACAGCATGGTTGGACCTGGAGATTACTACATTTAGCAAAATAAGCCAGAAGAAGAGAAACAGCATATGGTATAACTTATACATGGAGTCCAATGAACAGAATGAACTGATGAACAAAATAAAAACCAGAGTCATGGAAACATGGAACAGGCTAACAGATATCAGAGGAAGGGGGGTGAGGGACTGGAAGAGAGTGGCCTGAGAACATATATGATGTATGCACAGCCCATGGACACAGACAACAATGTGGGGAAACAGGAACTGGGTGGAGGGGGCAAAGGTGGGGAAAATGGGAGACATGTATAAGTCTCAACAAATTTTTTTTAAAAAAGGCTTACTGACCCCTGGACTAAAGAGTAGTAGATAACGCTGACTGTTCACCCCACCTACATGGTGCACATAATCAAAACAAAGTATTCATTCACATTTGACCTGCTTCTCAATAGCATTCCATTCAGCGTTCTCCAAAAACAAGCCATTATGTGAGGGAAATTGGTCGATATGTTTTTGCCTGAAACTACAACATATTATTTAATGTGTTTGGGGGATAAAAGGTCAGTATCCTGGGATAAATAAAGGGAGTTGTCCAAAATTTTATAATTTCTCAAGAGCTATGAAAATTAGTTAACTGAAGTCAGTATGCATATAAACGTGTTAATAATCTCGCCTGCACCCACCCAACTGTTTCAATGGAGAACTGCCAGGACTGTCTTGAGCTTTAACTGGAATCATCAATGAATCAATAGAGGTTTCTTAATATTTCTTTTCCTCACCCCGTGCAAGGTCCTGTGAGGGAAAATGAGGAAGTCGTGCCAGAGATTCTGGACTAATAAACTGGGCTCAGTCATGAGAATATGCAAAACCCTTAGCAACTTAATTACGGAACACTAAAAGCCAGTACGTATCCAGGAAAATAGAAAGCCCTGAGCAGTAGATTTGCTGGGAAGACTTCCAGAAGGAGAACCTGCAAGAATGGGTAGTTTGCTTCTAGGTCAAGACCCACCCTGAGATGGGAGTTGCCTGACCATTTGTATCTGTCCCTGCAGGACTCACAGGTAAGATTATTGATTCGGAGATAACTAAATCCTGCAACCTCAGTGCAGCTTCAGTGGCTGAGGTGACAACTGAAGTCGAGTCTTTATCCAGACAAGAGTGCATCTGGCCATGATTTGGATGTGCAGGGTCTTCTGTTTCGGGCGGTAAAATCCCATGTGGGTCACAATTTCAGCGAGAAAGAAGGAAATGATTCAAATCCTGAAAAATGTATTCATCCGTCCCATGGAAGGAGGAGGGAGAGAGAGAAGAGAGGAGAGGGAGAGGAAAGGTGAAAATGCAGAGCTGAGGGTATGGCAGGAGTCTGATTTGTTGGCAGGTCCTACAGACCAGGGAGGCTTGAAGTCCCGGGCCTTTCACTAATGAGACTCATTACTCATATCTGATCTTTTCAAATATCTTTCTTAGTGAAGTGTTCTATCTCCCTTTACAGATGAGGAAACTGAAATTTGGAGCTGTTAAATGATTTGCCCAAGGTCACATAGCAGGTATTTGTCTTAAGGCCTAAGGGGTTTCCAATTCCAACCTCTTTTCTCTCTGCCAGTTACTTGATAAATTTGCTTATCTAGCTCAGGTAATTAGTGAAGGTAGGTATAGCGTGTCAAAGTGACACTCGAGCCAAGGAAAAGCGATAAACTATGCTTCCTCTAATTTTCTTGTTGAAAAGACTAATTATCAAGTTTCATTTCCTGAACAGGAACAGCAGCCATCATTTAATATGAGGGAAAAGATTTTCAGTTCCAAAACAAAAGTAGCAATACACAGAATATCTCTTGACGTGAACATTACAAAGAACATATACATTTGAGAGGCTATTATATTCATCTGTGTATTGTACTTGTTCATTTCCAAGTGTAAAGAGGGATATCATTACCTGATAGTCTCATGTCCTTGGCCACACAGCTACTGTCTCTTCAGGGTGCACTCAA